GTTTGTTATTAGAAAAGGTGTGTCATGATTTTCTTCAATTTGTGCGAAACTTAATAAATCGTATATGTATATAGTTCAAGGTGTTTTTAATTACCAGGGGTTATTTAGAAGAATTTGTTAATGGAAGAATCTTTAAAATATGGTAATAGCTAAATAACAATGTGAGTATAATAAATATAGAAAAAGAAAGACAAAACTTCATATCGAATGTCAAAAAACGCAGATAATAAATACAAATGTATCAAATTTATTATTATTGAAAACCATGGCAAATAAAATAGCAGCTTGAAACAAAATTACTGAATAAAATAGTAGCGTTACCTCGAATTCTCAGTATTAACAAAGCTTGAAATTATTTATCCACATTTTGCTATTAACGAGCAAAATACATATTGAGGTAAAAATGATTCAAATTATTACAGTTTACATTGCGGCATTACTAGTTATTGAAAATGTTTGTATTCTACTTACATTATTTTCAAGTATTTTCATATTTTATTCACCGAATCGCTTTATATTAACGTCACTAAATAAAAAATACCTACTTTATTTTAAGTTAGGTAAATTCTAAATTACTGTTGGCTGTATAGGTTGGAAACACCAATTAATATCGCATTTTGTTATCAACTTGAAAGAGTATTTAACACAACAAATAGGAAAATAATCGATCGGTCGTTACGCTTATAGTCTAGTTTTCCTATCATAGTAACAAATATTGAAGTACGGAAATATACACATCGTATGTTTCATCTATTGATTTTATATCAGAAAAACTAATAATTTATAACAGTAGGTGCAGTTCATCCCAGGTTTAAATGCGTCAGGCGAAATGACGTCACTACCAAACGACTGTTTTTAAACTTTCGTAGAAAACGTTTAATTTGTTTAACTTTGTTCTTAAGTATTAACCTTCAGTGTATACAGTTTAAAAGTGATATATGTGATTTAAGTAATATAAACCATACATAATATTCCCATAATAGGTGAGTTATTTTAAATCAAGGGAGACAAAACGTGTAAAATGTTATATATAAAATTTTTATTAACACGTTAAGCCCCGCACCATCATGATATAAGTTTTCTGTCAGACCGGAAATTTTTTTAAATAATTTTGATATAAGAATGTGTATAACTATTTATTTCTATCCTAAAATAAAAAAAATAATACATTTTTTAAGTAAAAAACAGCATGTACTAACACAGTACACAGGGTCTATTTATAATTATTTTTGTAATTTGTTTTAATGTGGACCATGTGTGCCATATTGGCACACACCAGGAAGATAATCAAATACCTTCTCCCTAAGATTAGGGAGACATATAAAATATGTGACAGTTAATACAATATGTGATAATACATTAGTTTACTATAATAATAATAATAATATGTATGTGTGTTAAAATGTACATTTTAGATCTTTTGAAGAAGTTAACAGTCTTTAAGACAGGAAAATATTTTTCGGTTATCTGTATTTTCTTGTAGGGTCATTCTCATCTATCGAACGTTCCTAGAGCAATCTTACTGATTCTGAATGATTAACACAATCGAACGCTTTCTGGTAATCTATACAGCGTAGGAAGACATTTTCGCTGATCTCTGCATTTCTGAAGAAGGACAGTTAACCTATACAGTGCTTCTCTTGTGCCAAATCCTTGTCTTAAACCGAACTGTGTGGGGCTAATGTATCTTTCACATATTTTGTATATTCTTATGTGAATTATCTTTAAGAAGAGTTTTAGGACCTGGCTCAATAAGCTGATAATTCAGAATTGGTTGCTACTATTGACATTAGGCTTTTTTTGCTGTTGGTATAAAGGTTGATTAAAGCCAATCCTGTAGTATTTGACCGGACCCATGAATGTCAGTAAAAAGATCCACCAAGGCGTCTCTATTGTCTTTACTCAACATTGTTAGGACCTTTATGTATATATCGTCTGAGCCTAGTGCTTTTCCCCATTTTCTCTGTTTGATTGCCCTTACAACTTCTGACTTCAATATTTTGGGGGTTCACTTTTATATTCACTTTCAAAATTTTCTTCTAGTGTTGTCTGAGTATAGTTGCTGTGTAGTTTCTCCAATGTTGAAGTAGATCCTTAAGATCAGTAATTTATTTATTTTCCTTCACAATACTGTTAAAACTGCAAGGTTTTGTATGACCTGTCACTTCTTTAACGAGTTTATGTATGTTAAAGTAGTCATGTCTTTCTTATAATTCATCCATTTCTGCAGACCTGTCTAGCAGTCACTATTCTTTCGTTTTGCGTTTTTCGTATTTGTCGGTTAATCTGCTGATGTTTGGTTCGACCTTTGTTTTTAAATGATCTGCGGTCGTTCATTATTGATAATGTTTCAGCTGTTATCCAATTCTACTTTTTGTACTTTTGGGAAGCGATCAGAGACTTGGTGGTGTTTACGATAGCTTTTTTAATTTAATTACATTTGTCTTCTATACTGTCCGGTTGTTTAGATCTTGCCGTGATATCCGCTATTGCCTCATTTGCTCATCTGTTTCAGGGTACTTTTTACTCCTTGCCATCCATTTCTGCATTACTGATTAATCAACAAAAAATAAATTTGATTTCTTGCGATGCTGTCATGTGTATGCCGTGGAGACTGGCAGGTGTAGAGTCTCCTTGGTGGCAGTTTGTATTAGGTATTCGCAATGACTATTTTTTCTTGACTTGAATGATTTAAAAGTCCCTTGACTGTTTTTTATACGAAGCGCCATATTTACGCAAAAAATAAAAAATCTATAGGTAATGGATTTTGACACGAGCTATGACCTTGTAAATAACAGGTAAATTTGTGTACTAAATCGGCATGACTCATAACTCTTGTTAAAATTCATTACCTCGTGTTTTTAATTTCTTGACAACATTGTCTAATAGCATACTGTCAACAATTATCAGTAACAAAAAGAGAAATCATAGGATTTCTACCTGGCGAAATCGAATTCAAATCTTAACCACGTGTGGTTATTTTTATTTTTTCGTGTGGTAATGCCCATGGATTCTTCATCAAATCGATCAAACTCGTAATTTTATATACGAAATTTCTATAACAATCAATCGTGGGTTGAGGAAAATTCACATGAGACCTTTTAAGATCATTTCCGCAATAAGTTTTTAGTTAATTGGAGTGATTGATAATCAAAATCCAGAAGGAAAACAATTTCTGTAGCTGGCTGTATACCACGTATCACAAAAAAAGAGGTTAGTCTTCGTAAGTGGGTATATTTATTTAAAAACCCTTAAAAGGGCTACATCAAAAAAACAAACGTTTTCGGACTAAACAGTCCATCATCAGGTTTAAAATCACTAGGTAAAGGGTAAAAACCCTTTAAATTACATATAGTTATAAAAGATTATACATCTTGATGTTAAAAAACTGTGATGTTCAGTATTAAATTAAATATGACTTCAGATGACTTCAGGTAACATACATTGTAAAATTGAGTTCCAGAGCCGGGGAGAAAACCTCTATATAGTTTCTACTATAGTTTCTATAGTTACTATAACTATAGTTTCTACTATAGTTTCCAGCTGTTCTCCGTGCGTAGAGGTTTTCTCCCCGGCTCAGGAACTCAATTTTACAATGTATGTTACCTCAAGTCATATTTAATTTAACACTGAACATCACAGTTTTTTAACATCAAGATGTATAATCTTTTATAACTATATGTAATTTAAAGGGTTTTTACCCATGTATTTTGGTGGCTCAGGCATTTTAACCTAGCGATTTTAAATCTGATGATGGACTGTTTAGTCCGAAAACGTTTGTTTTTTTGATGTAGCCCTTTTAAGGGTTTTTAAATAAATATACCCACTTACGAAGACTAACCTCTTTTTTTGATTGATAATCATTTAATTTGTCCATATTTCCTTTTACAATCACCAACCGGCAAATATTATCTTAGTTTCTTCAGGAAAAATTGCCTATTTCTTTAAACAAATTTCTCTTCAGCATAAGATAACACTTATGGTTCACACATAATGGTGCACTAGCCCATTTTAACAATAATGTATGTAATTATTTAGATAGAGTATTTTCAAATCATTGGATAGGTAGACGAGATACAAAACATTTTTCTGCTCGGTCGCCAGATTTAAATTCTCCATATTTTAGCATTTGGACTTTTGTTAAGTCCTTGATTTGTTTTAATCCCGTCGATAATATTGATGACCTGAGGATCAGAATTTTAGCTAACTGTGTGACAATAAGAAATACCCTAAGAATATTTACGCAAAGATGACAATCAATGAGGCGAAGAGTTGAATTTTGTGTCTGGTCTAAGGGAGGTTATTTTAAATATTTGTTTTAGTATTTATTTCTGTTATTGTTGTGGTTTAGTGTTGTGTTAGATAGTTCTTTATAATGTATTAAAAAAATTAAAAATACTTGTGATGTTTTATTTTTTTGCACAAAAACGGCGCCTCATATAAGAAAATTCAACTATAACAAATATTGTTGAAAGGGGTTTACGTTTAGCTAAAGTAATTAAAAAAAAACGTATGTTAATATACCGTCAATTTATGACATATTTCAAAACTTTAAAGCGTGTTACCGTTTTACTAGTTTTTAAAAATGTATGGTTTAGTTATGCAAACGGGAAACTAGAACCACAATTAATAAAGAATTTAACTCTAAAGACTGTTAGAAAACAGTCATTTTTTATTAAAAATGATACGAAATGTTGGCGTACTCATAGTGAGAGTAATTTGGAACTTCAAATCAGCTGAGCTTAAAAAAATTTGAAATATCTATATCTGAAATATTTGAAAAAATGACCCAGTTCCAATATTTTTTTAATCTGGAGAAGCCTATAAAAACAATAATATCTACGTAATATATTTTCTACTATTATGATTATTTAACTAACTTTTTCATTCACTGCAATAAATAAGTAATACATAACATATTTATTATAATATAAATAAAAATAGATATAGTAATGCATAAAATATAATTTATTTAATATATATCTTTCACTCTTTTTCAGGTGCATGACGTCGATGAAAAAACTTGCCATTTTGTCAGCCGTGCGACAGGATGGGAGATTGAATTTCACCAACATGAACCCCACACCAGGAACACCTCCCGGTCCGGTGCATGGGGTCAATGTTATGTTGGGAGGGTAAGTTAGACTAATAAAATAAGTACTGTAGCTTCAGTTTTCTTTAACTGCAACAAAAAATTCAATAAAACGTACGTAACTATGATCTAGTCCAAAAGTGCGATGTTGACGATTACGATGATCTATTTTAATTCTTTTCTGATCTCTTAATTTTTGAATTGATATTTTTGTTTGGTCCATAAAAGAGGTATTTTGTCCTGTAATTTAAATTTATCCAACCACATTTATCCATAACATTTTTGCATAGTTTTACTAGAAGTTTTAATTTTACAAGAGTAAAATTCTTTTACTCCTATCAGGAAGTAATTTTGGTAAAGTAGGACTTTTGTCTTGTAGAATGCTTGCAGTTTCGCCATAATACTTAATCATATTTCACACTGTAATTTGGCAGTCTTTGTATGTAAGTCTCTATGTAAGTCTTTAAAAAATAACAAAACACCAGGACCAGGGAACATACCAGCTGAACTAATATATGGCACAACAAAATTATATGAAAACCTGGCTAAACTCTTTCAAAGATACATCAACGGAGCGGAAATCCCAGAAGAATGGAAGACATTATGGATATACACCATACATAAAAAAGGCAGACGGGATCAATGTGACAATTACAGAGGCATCGCTGGAACGAAATCGATCAGCCGAATATACGGAAAACTGAATAAAAATAAAATCGAAAACGAATATAAAGATATAGAAGCTCAAGAACAGGCAGGATTTCGGGCAGGGAAATCAACGGTAGACCATCTGTTTTGTATTACACAGATTATTGAGAAGAAACTGGCCGTCAACCAGGAGGTGCATCTGTTATATGTGGACTTGAGAAAAGCGTATGATAGCATCCCACAAAACAAACTATGGGAAGCATTAGAGAAAACCAATATAAGCGCAAATTTAATAACAGCGACGAAACAATTGTATACCAAAACTGCAGCAAATGTGAAAGTTGGAAGCGGACTATCGAGAGGATTCCAAATTAGCAAAGGCCTAAAACAAGGGTACTGCCTTTCACCGACATTATTTAAGATCTACCTCGAGCAAACTCTAAAACTTTGGAAACGCAAATGCAAAAACATGGGATTACCGATCAACAACAATACAATATACACTTTGTCATTTGCAGACGACCAACTTGTATTAGCGCAAGACTACGATGATATAGAATATATGACAAGGAAATTAATAGCGGAGTACAAAAACGGTGGTTTGGAAATAAACATAAAAAAGACCGAATATATGTGTATCGGTGGGACACAGCAGGACCTTACACTGGGGAATGGCGAAATTATTAAACATTGCGACTCATATAAATACCTGGGTATGACCATCACACAAGAAGGAAACGTAGATCGGACGATAGAAGAAAGAAACAACCAGGGAAGAAAAGCAATTACCCTTCTCAATAGCATACTGTGGGACCAGGCAATATCAAACAACAACAAACATAGAATATACAATACAATTGTTAAGAGTATAATCACTTACAGCAGTGAAGTATGGCAAATAAAAGAAAGATACAAGAGAAAATTTGAAGCAACAGAAATGGATTTCTGGAGGCGCTCAGCAGGAAAATCAAGATTAGAAAGGGTAACCAACAACAGAGTTAGGGAAATAATGAATGTGAAACACACAATAGTAGATGACATTAGTACCAAACAGCTTAGATGGTATGGACACGTACAAAGAATGTCCGAAGAACGACTTCCGAAACAAATCCTAACGTGGACCACTCATGATAGACGAAAAAGAGGAAGACCCCGCCTTAGTTGGAGAGAAGGCATAAATCGAAGTATGAGAGAAAGAGAATTAGATGAAGACCTTTGGATGGACCGAAGTGAATGGCGACTAGGCATCGGAAGACGTAGGAGAACGTTTTAAAACCGATATATATATATATATATATACTTCTAGCGGTTAATATGGGCTCCGTACTAAAACGGTATTATACTAACTCCAGGAGAATATACGCCGTGTATATTATTATCTGAGTAGCGCTTTATGTAGACTCCGACCAATACGTCGGATCAAGTGGACTCCGTAATAGGATCAAACATTTTTGGGATCCGTATATAACTTTTCCCGTACACTTCTTAACTCCTGCGATGTTGCCAATAATTGTATTAGTAGTAGATTTTTAAATTTTATAGGTGGTACATTTTGGAACCTATTAATATGAACATCGAGTAGCGTAATCGTCTAACAGTTTAAGAAACTCTTCTGTAAGATCTTTATAATTTTTCAATTACTGCAGTTTATGGCGTGTAATATTTATTTCATGAAGTAGTTAAAATTAGACTATAATAATTTATAAATTAATCTTTAATATTATAATTTTTTGCTGTCTAATTTCAATATGTTGATTTTTAATTAACAAAATATTTGATGCATTAAAGTCGCCTAGCTATTTTCACCAAACATTCAATTTTAAAGCTATTAGTATAAAAGTCTAAAAAAAAGTATAAAAATCTAAGGAATTTAATATGGATACACACGTCAGTGTGCTTTTCTCAAGTCTCAAGTTTTTCGAATCCATCAATAATTCATTGTATTTCTTATACTTTCATTTTAATCCTCTCCAATCAAGATTTTAAAGCAGGTTTGCCCCATTAGTCCATTTTTATTACTTTTTGTCACTATTTCTCCTTTTTCATTATCATCATCATTACGTGGCGCTACAACACTGGGTGGGTCTTCGCTAACTACAAATTTTCTCCAAGTTGATCGATTTTCCACGAATCTGTAATCAAATGAAATGTTAATATTTTGAGATATAATTGGATGTTTTCTCTCCATTGCTTACTGAGACGCCTAAGCGGTATTCTTTCTTCTGTGTTAACTTCCTTCCATACCAGTTTTACAAGTTTGATATATTGGCGTCTATGCATGTGTCCGATCTACCTTAAGCGATTTATTTTTCTGAACAATATCGTTATAAAAGCTTTCTTTATTCAGTATGGGTTCTTATTCTATACGGATTTGTAGCGATATGATAATGAGGTTAAAACATTTTTCTAATTATTTTTATTTCAAATATTCGTACTTCTTCCTTATTTTTTTAGTCAATGTCAATGATTCGCATCCATGTATTAAAATAGGTCTAAAATTTGAATTATGCTAAAAGTATTTAGTTATTGACATTATTATTAACAGGGATTATTTATCTAAGATATTTAAAGTGTTCCATATTTTTGAAATTGTAGTTGTTAACTTTAATATTTTATCTAGATTTATTAAATTGGTCTTTTCTGTTGATTCGCTTGTATTTGGTTTTCATTTCGTTAATTTTTCGTGCTCTCTTTACTTTATTGAAGATGTTTGCGGACGGGAGAGTTTCTTATGAGATCTATGTCATTAGCATATGCTAGGAGTGCTTTGTACCTTGGGCCTTTAATGAATTACATCTTAAATAGGCGATATTTCCATTTTAGTAAGCTGTTCATTAATTTTTTGACTATTTGAATCGACAATCTGTATTTTATTCGACTGTTATATCACAGAGTTTCTTGGCGCATATTTTCATTCTTGGTTTTTTGTTTCCCGTATCATTATTACAAAGATTTTTCTGGAGATCGACATAGGGAACCCGGTGGTATGTACATGATGTTTTTATAACCAACATCGAAAATTTGTCTTACTGTAAAGTCATAATGATTTTACTAGGAAATATAGTGTTGTTTAATAATAATAAAGTTCAAGCAACAATTCCTATATGCAATACCTTAGTATGATATTTCTGCTCCCCGATACCAAGTAGCAGTCCCGAAAACATTAAAACTGCTACACTCATGTTTCCTATTATCCAAAAATTAGCCAGTCCAGGACTATACTGTCCTCATAAGTGAATAGAATATGTACGGAGGTTTTTGGCAATTTAATAGGATTTTGTGTGTTAGAATATTATTTCTCCGAGAAAGTAAAGAATATTTATTTGCTATCCGAATATAATCCATAAATTAAATATTAGAATGCTATAAAATAATGCTACTAGCAGAAAAAACGGTATAATAGTCACTAATGAGAAAATCAAATAAATGTTTTTTAACATACAAAAGAAAGGGTGTAGAGTAAGGCATAACGTAACAATAAAGCTATATAATTTTGAAAGATTGCAGCGTTTTAGATATCGTAGATAACGTTGTCACATAAGAAATAAAAGGGAAAATTCAGGTAGCTAACTGATGTATATAGAACCCTTATAACACTTTTAAATCCAGAAGCCTAATATAAATCTCTAAAATCAGGATATATAAAACAGTGAACCAGTGCTAATGTGTGGATATGTAACGAGAACGTATTAATTAGATCAGGATTGCTAGAAAAACCATCAGAGGTATTTCCCGACTTACAAAGGTCCGAGTACTAACCAATACCGAACGAAACTAATGCCAAGGTCAAACACATATATAAAGATAGCAACGAGGTACAAGAACCTAAATCTCAACTCCAAAGTTGCGCTGGCTTTATCCAAAGGCTCTCTCATTAACTGCATTCCCAAGTTAAATTGGTAGGATGCCCCGAGAGAAAAAATGCCCTTAAGATGTCCACGGATGAAGGGCGCAGATTTAGGAATAATGAGACTACTTACCGACTCATCATATTTATTAACACCTGCTATCCTACCTACAATCAATACATATCTGTTGAGGACTATCAAATCAATTACATGTAATCAAACGAACTAGGCTTAAAAAAAGTATCCTAGGAAAGGCACTTCGGCAATATTGACATATATTTTTAAAACGCCATTTATGTGGCTGAGTTTGCAATAGGAATGAGGAGACAAAAAGGAAGAAATGGTAATAAAATCTTGTTGCGTTCCGACTATACGATGACGATGATCTCTATATAACATATAGGAAGAAATAGGGAATAATGTCTATGTTCAATTTAGAACTCGTTGGTTTTCTCCCTTTCGAATTGAGTATGTATATGTATTACCATAGAAAAAATAAAAAAAAACTATAATTATGAAACTCAATCTAAAATAGTAAAATCGATAA